GGGAAAGGGATGATTTTCTAGGAAAAGACCAAGCATGAGACAAGAGAGAAATTCAAATCGACTAAACACGGTGAACAAAATTAATCGAACTGTTAACAAGCTACATTTGCCCAAAAGAGCCAGCTCTAAGAAACAGTTCAAAACTCTCTCAGATATGGAGAGAGAATGAAAATCCATGAAATTACCTTATCGCTGATACTAAAGCCTGACAAAGTACAAAAAAGGCAAAAATTCTAATCCATCTTGCATATGTATATTAACACAAAAAACCTAAACAAAAATGTAACCAGTATAGCCCAGCAGCACCTGTTTCCCATAGCTGCCATAATTTAGTGACACAAACTCAGCTGCTTAAAACCACCAAATTTATGACCTCACAGTTTCTGTAGGTCAGAAATCTGGTATGGGTCTAACGGGGCCAAGATCAAGGTGCTGGCCAGGGCTGTGGTTCTTACCAGGGGTTCACTGGTTGTTGGTAGAATTCGTTTCCTGCTCAGGTTCCTCAGCTCCCCACCCCCACCTTTGAGCCAGCAATGGCATGTCAGGCTTCGAACCTCTCTGTCTTCCTCTTCTTCCCTCGCTCAGAAGAGAGCTCTGCTTTTAGGGCTCATTGATCATTTTGGGCCCACCTGGATAGTCCAGGATGACCTCTCTAAGGCAAGGTGGATTAATTACATGTGCAAAGTCCCTTTTGTTGCATAACATAACATTCAGAGGTGTCACACCAGAGGGCAAAGGCCATATGGGCAAAAATTCTGTCTTCCACAGTAGTATTGAAAGAACAGCGTACTGTGACTAAGCCAACATCATTCTAGGAACGAAAGGCTGATTTACTGTTAGGAAACCAAGTCACATAATTCATTACATGAGTACGTCAAAAGAGAAAAAATATTAAATTGTCTTAAAAGATGCCGAAAAAGTCCTTATAAAATTCAACATCAACTCCAGACAATTTAAATCCGTGAAGCTATACTTCTTTATAAAGACTGTATATACCTCAAACCAAAAGCCGGTAGTGTCTTAATGGTGGCATACCACAACAGCCCTTTAGGTCAAGAAAAAACCGCCCTGTCAATAATGACCCTGTTCTGCAAGTCCTGCCTAATAAGAGCAAAAAGAAAAGTATAAATATTGAAAAGCAAGAGGCAAAAAGATGAATATTTGTAGATGACATAATTGTCCACCTGAAAAACCCAAGAAAACCAACTAAAGAACTATCAGAAATAGTAAGAGGGTTCTAGAAGGAGGCTGGAGTATAAAATGAATAAGCCAAAATCAATGTCTTCCCTATACTCCTGAAAATCCATTTAGAAAATCTGGGATGAAAATATCTTACCATAATATCAACAAGAAGAACGACAGGTAATATAATACCTAGCAACACACTCGAAAAGCGTGAGCCCGAAGCAAGTGCCGATAGTTTCACTCAGGGGCGAAGGCAGGATATTTCCACATCAAACTGCAATACATCAGTTTCTAAATCTAAGGCAATTCCATTTAAAATGTCAACGTCATTTTCCCTCGTACACGATACAATGGTTATCGTCTTCCTTCAGAATAGTAAACATACGAAGTAGACAGTAAAGAAGAGAGTGAGAGGACCTCGTCCCGCACTGACTGCCGAAGCACGTGTGTGAGAAACTGAAGTAGTTCAGCCGTGTGGTCCCGCAGACACACATATACATTGGGAGACTGGACACACACCCGGACAGAGGCCAGCTCATATATAAAAATGCAACTCGAACCCACAGCCTGTAGCAACCTGCCCAGGAAGCCAAGCCACGGTCTCTGCAGCAGTCAGCCCCTGTGGCCAGGATTGTCAGTAACTGACAGCTCCCCTCACCTTTGCCACTGTTTCCAGTGCAGGACCAACCGGAGAGAGCCAAACGTGCTCCCTTAACCAGCCACGTAGGACGCTCTGCTTCTAGGTGGCCCCGCGGCTCCAATCAGGGTGCGGCTGCACCGAGGCCCTCCCCGCTCTGCCTGCCTCTGCTCTGCGCCGCAGCACCAGGCAGCGGTGGCCGCCCCCTCGCTGTCGCGAGGTCTGACGAAGCAGCCTTTGCTTGTTTTCCCTTGGGTAGGCTCTGTTGCTTTCCACAATATACACAACTGTGGTGAACTCTCAAGTTCAGACTAGTGGAGGGAGGACAGACTATTCAACGACATTCACCACTGTTTTGGAAAAAACGGTTAGCCATTTGGGAAAAAAGGAACTCATACTGCATATCCACATCAAAGTAAATACCAGCTACATCAACGGTTTAAATGTGAAAATGAAACAGTGAAAACAGTAGAAGGAAACGCCAGCTGATCTGCATAACAACCCCACAGGGCAGGCAGGGCTGTTTGGTATTCACCACTGCTTCACACATGAGGAAGCTCAGGTCCCGCCAGGGGAGTGAGAGCCAGATTTGAACCCAAGGCTGACTCCTAGTCTGCAGGGCAAATGAGGTGTGTGTGTGTGGGGGGTGGCAATGGTGTGACCAAGAGAAATTCCACTTCGGGAGCTCGTGGAAGCTGTCAAACAGACCCTTCCGCCGAGCCCTGGAGGGAAGGTGCCGGGGCGTGGCCAGGGCTGCGGCCTGCGGGGCAGCTCACCTGTTGGGATCGTAGCCCAGGCTGTTCAGCATGTGCGCCTGGTCCAGGTCTCGCGGGAAGCCGTGCAGCACCCACCCTTTCTGAATGCTGTCCTGCTGGTCCAGGCGCTGGCTCAGCACCTTCACCACGAGGCTGTCGGGAACTGCAGGGAAAGGAGGCGAGTGAGCGCGATGCCGTCTGCCGCTCTGTGGCCCGTGGGCGCCTGACCTCGCCTGACCGCAGATTGAGCTGGGGAAGAGGCGGGTTTAGGTGGAGCCACATGGAGCCACCTGGACAAGGCTGTGGGTGCCTATTTCCCAGGTCCCTCTGTAGTCCCCGCAATAGGAGGAACATGGCCGCCTGAGGTGAGAAATGCTTTGGGTGGCCTTGACCTCAACCTTTCCCTGACCTTGACAAGATACCATCCCCATCTGAGGCCATGGTAGTTCCCAACCCTTCAGTGACATTTAGGCAGTTTTTCTCCCTCAGTCTGTTGGGGCTGCTATAACAAAATACCATACACCGGGTGGCCTGGAAACAACAGGGATTTATTTCTCCCAGTTCTGGAGGCTGGAAGTCTGAGGCCAAGGCAGACTCAGTGTCTGATAAGGGCCCACTTTCTGGTACATAGATGGTGCCTTCTCGCTGCATCCTTACATGGTGGAAGGGTGGGGTCTCTCGGGGGTCTCTTTCATAAGGGCACTAATCCCATCTGTGAGGGCTCCGCCCTCAGGACCCAACCACTTCCCAAAGGCCCCATCTAATGCCATTAAGTTGGGGGTTAGGCTTCAACATACACATGTTGGGGGGGGTCACAAACATTCAGACCGCAGCACCCCTGCAGGGATCCGGTTTTTGTAGCAAACACTCTTCACGGGAGCACATCAGCCCCAGGTAAGTTTTAGTTTCCCTCACACAGCATCGCGTTGGCCCCGACACTGCTGATTTGTGATCCACAAGCAACCCCAGCTTGGCTCCTTCCCCCAGTTCTCCCCTCCTTGACGTTCAGAACCGAGTCTCTCGTAAGAATCACAGCTCTAGTTATAACCGGAGACTGAAATACAGTTCTGCGGAGAGTGAGACGGAGAAGCCTCTTGTTTACTCTGCTGCAATTGACATTTTCCTGAAATTCATATCTCTCTTCCCAGACTCATTAAATGTCCTATGTTGCTAATGTACTGCGTTCCAGCGATTTGCACTGCGTTTCCTGCACTTTGCACTCATTTTCCCAGAAATACTTGGTAAATATTACCATTGTTTGCCATGACTGTGGCCCGTGTGGAGCTGGTTCCTAAAGGTACAGTGGCAGCGAATTTGACACTTTCTCTGGAAGCTGCGCGGTTCCCCTCCTACCAGCCACCTGTGGGGCTGGCAAGTGGCCCTCAACCTTTCAGAAGGTCCCAGGCTGGCAGCCAGGTGAATGTGAGAGTGTGAGATGCAGAAAAATCACTACCAGCCACTTTCCTGCGTGGCTGTGACTTGCTGGGTTACTGCCCTGTCGCCAAAGAACCATAAACCTCATTCTGACTAATTTGCATTTCCCTAAATTTGTTCTTTCTCATATCCTTCAACCTTTCTTCCCCAGTTTCTAGGAAAGAGCAGAAAAGGGAATTTGCTTTAAACAACAACATTTGGCTATCTAACATGAATGAGAAGTTGATAGACCTAATCCCATCTCTTCCCCTGCTTAAAACCTGCAGTGGCTCCCCAGTGCTCCAAGGATAGAGCAGTCTCCTCTCCATGCCAACAGGGCCTGGCTGGGTCTGGGTCCCGCCTTCCTCCGGGGTGGCTCTCCCTGGCCTTCATCTCTCCTTGCCCATGCTGTCCCCTCCATCTTTCCCGCACACCTTGTCCAGGGCCACAGAGGAACGTTCCCTCCCCAGAGGAGCCTCCGAGGACAGTCCCCAGCCTGGGTGGCACCTGTCCTTGCCCTTCTTCACTTGCCACCCTGTTATCACAGGGAAATTCTCTCTGGGTAATCCTTTGTCTAGTATCTGCCTCTCCCGAACGACGGTCCCTTGAGGACAAAGGACCACATCACTCTCGCTTTCTGTGCCTGGCACACAATGGATGTGGAGTAAACAGACGGGACGCTTCCCTTTCAAACATTTTCTTGACCAGACTTTGGGGCAGCCAGGTGGGAGCAAGGAAAGCTCACCAATCCGGTCTCATCTTAGCCCTGCCCTTTGGGGCCGACTCACCCCCAGTCTCTCAACCTCTCTGAGCCTCAGCTTTCTAACTGCCCAATGAGGACAACAGGACCCACCGTGATGGGGAACACCATACATAACATTCAAAGATGGTGGCTGTGATTTTTTAATCCAGGAGCGGAGTGTCAGGAAACGATGCTTCATGAATATTGTCCTGTCTCCCCGTGGTCAGGGCATCTGAGCACAGACTGCCAGCGCCCGGGATAAAGGATGACTGACTGCAAACGAGCCCTGCAAGTTAGGGACTGCCAGAGAGACTTAGGGACCTCTGCCCGGAGACATCTGTTGACATTTCAGGGGCTATAAACCTAGAGACCTCCTCCTCTGCAAACCAAAAGGAGAGCTCCCACTCCAGGGTACGGTTTGGGGGCGAGCTGGCACCACTGCCCTCCACAAGCTCCAGCGCCGTGACGTCAGGGCTGCTTTCCTGTGCCACGGTCCCGGTGCACCCGGCTGCAGCTGGCTTCTTCCTTCCAGCTTGCCCTGGGAGGGGCTGGGCGCGGGAGCCAGCTCTAAGAGCACTGGGTGACTGGGTAATCCGTCTGCTCTGATCCAGAAACCTTGCGTTTTCCGTACGGATAAATAAATAGAGAATTAAAACAACGTGGGGGAGAAATCTGCCTTGGAGCTTGCCAGTCCAAGTCTACCCTAGATATTTACAGACATTGTCACCTAAATAAGAAGCTAGTACAGGCCGGGCGTGGTGGCTCACGCCTGTAATCCTAGCTCTCTGGGAGGCCGAGGCGGGTGGATTGTTTGAGCTCAGGAGTTCGAAACCAGCCTGAGCAAGAGCGAGACCCCGTCTCTACTAAAATTAGAAAGAAATTAATTGGACAACTAAAAATATATAGAAAAAATTAGCCGGGCATGGTGGCGCATGCCTGTAGTCCCAGCTACTTGGGAGGCTGAGGCAGGAGGATCGCTTGAGCCCAGGAGTTTGAGGTTGCTGTGAGCTAGGCTGACGCCACGGCACTCTAGCCCGGGCAACACAGTGAGACTCTGTTTCAAAAAAAAAAAAAAAAAAAAGAAGCTAGTACAGAAATAAGCCTTTCCCAGCAATGGGGAAAGTCACTGGCCATCCGGGCCGTCCCCGGCACTGGGTTGGACGCCGGGATACGGCAAGCAAGACGACAAGGGCTCCACGCTCCTGAAGTGTATGTTCTCCCAGGAGACAGCCTGTATGCAGGTAAATAACCATTTCGGACAGTCACGGATACTACGAAGAAAATTAACCAAATGACGGGCGGCTGCTGTTGCACTGGGTCTAGGAGGAGGTCACGTTTGGCTGAGATCCGAATGGTGGACCTAGCTGACACCCCAGGCCCATCAGGGCTCGGCTGCTTGGGGGTGAGGACTGCATCGGGCCAGATATGTTCAGGTTGTCATCCGCTATAATCAGGTCTTGCTTGGAAACCAAGCTGCGCCCCAGGGAGGTCTGACGTGCTGATCGCAGCTTTCTCCAGGGGCCTGGAAGGTCACCCCCTTGACCGCCCTCATTTCAAAGTTGGGAAAGTGAGGCCCAAAGAGGCTGTGGTGTAGGTGACCTGTCCAAGGTCATCCAGCCAGTGGGTGTCGAGCTGGGACAGCACTGTGATCCCTGGCCCAGAATGTCCCGACTGCTCTGTGGTCTCCTTGCCCAGTGGCCCCTGAGCCTCTGAGTCCCTCACCTTGGCCACTTACAAGCCAGTACGGGACAGTTTCTCCACCCAGGGAGAAATCTGACTTGAGAGAAGAATGGAAGATCAAATAGAAACACAAAGAGATTTTTTTGTTTTGTTTTGTTTTTGCCTGTTAGTAAAAGATTTCCAGAGGGAATTTCCCAATTTGCATCAACATTAAAATGTGCGTGCCTTTGACCCAGCAATGCTGTTTCCAAGAACTTACACCACGAGGATGACGGCACAGAGGGAAACGTGAGCGCGGAGATGCCCGCTTCAGCGCTGTTCACGACGGTGACCGCGGCAGCAACCTAGAACGCCCGTCAGTGTGGACGGGCTAGATCGGGGCACTGCATCTGTGCCCCGGGGCGTTATGCGACTGCTTGAAAACATCCACGTTTCTGTTAAGTCAGAAGGAAGCTATGACGGGTCTAGATGGAAGAAGTCTTGACAGAATGAGAAACAAGCAGGTAAATAACCGCCGCGGAGAGTGGACTGGGAGGCACATGCGTGAACAAGAAAGAAAGAAAGGAAATAGTCTCCTCTAAAAAAACTCATCTTTTTAATGGAAGACTTTAAACACACATCAAAGGAAGAGAATAGAACAACGAAACTGCCGGGTTTTAGAGGAGACTATTTAATGCTTTAAAGAGGTTGCAATGGCCTCGTGAGAAACTGTTCCAAACGGACAAAGGATGCAATCTCCCCGGAAGGCCATAGGTGGCTCCCCTTTTGGGGGGACCTGGGGTGTGGGTAGTCTCCGTCCTCCTAGCGCCACCAGTTCCAGAAGCTCTGCGCAGAAGCCTGGCATTGTGGGCATTTGCTCGTATCTGCCCCTCTTGGGTGATCCTGCGGAAGCTCTGACCCCGGCACAATCCTTTCAACTTTAGTGTGGAATAGTGACAACTTGTCACTCTCAGAGCCTCGGCAGCGGCTGCGTGGCTAAAGGGCTGTGGTGGTCCTCTCCCAGCACCGGTTTCCCATACACGTTGGGGGTCTCCGTGTCGCCCCGTCTGGGTCAAGACGAACCGCAGACGGAGGCCACCGACCTTTCCCAGTCAGTGTCTCTCCCCAGTGGCAGCTGTGCAGGGCCCGGGGTGAAGGGTGAACCCGAAGCCCCTCAGCAGGGTCCCCCACGCCCACCCGCGTCTCCTGCGCCAGCCTCTTCGCAGGTGTTCTGCTTTTTCCTGTGGGCTATCGACTCACTTTTCCAACCCCACACGGTCTGACCAGCCAGTTCTGCGAAAATGCTGTTTCTGCGGAAGGGCTCTTGCCTGCCGTGTTCTGCCAGAAGT